ATTTACCTCAAGTAGATACTCTCCTTGGAGAGAACAATCATGGGAGAAAGAAGGGCTGCTTATGCACAGGGAGATAGCTCAGGGGGCAGGAGTGCGTGGAGGGATGGACACAGGGAAGAGGTAACTATGGGGAGGAAGTGGAAGGGGAACTGTTGCATTGTGGTAAACTGTGGTCAATGTCATGAGACAAAGTATATGTGAACCGCTGTAGGGAAAGTGAATTTGGTCTGTAAACCTTCACCCAAATCACAATAATGATTAAAAAAAGGCAATGTAACTGTATTTCTGAAAAGAATTTTATACAAAAGCTTGATGTTTAAAATGAGTAAATTGGATTTTCTTTTCTTCATTTGGAAGAAGGGAAACCAGATTCCCACCTTCTTACTTACAAAGAATCTTTGCAGATAGAACCCTGGTGTGTGTGGGGGGGCAGGGGGCTGAAGCGTACAGTGATTAAAAGAGCAGATACTCTGGAGTCAGGCTGTTTGGTCTTCAATCCATCTCTTTTATTACCTGCTGTGTGACTTTGGTCAAGGTACTTAACCTCTCTGAGCTTTAGTTTTCTATTAAATGGGGACAATAATAGTGTGTACTTTAAAAGGTTGTGGTTAAGATTAAATGAGATAATATATAGCAAAGTCTGAGGTATTTTAAAAACAGCACTAGAGGCAACAGATATGTGTAAGAAATAATTCTGGTTCTTTCAAAACTCTAATGCAAAATCAAAACACTGGCACACTGCTAAAGGGGCAGGGAGGCACCATCTTCTGACCTCTTCTAACCGCACAAGAGGAAGACAGAATCACCATCAGTAGCTCAAATTCTATTCCTGTGAGGCCAGACATGCTGCATCCCTCTAGCCCTTTCACCAATGCTGACACCAGCCATTCCTCCTGTGGCACCTACCACCTCGCTGCTGGGTTCAGTAATTCACTGCAGTGGCCACACAGAACTCACAGATTATGGGGCTTATTAGGGAAGCAACAGGCTACAATTCAAGTTCATAAAGGCAGCCAGTCTCTCACAGCCAGCCATCTCACTCAGCAGCCAGCAGTCTCTCTCCCAGCAGTGTGTATCTCTTGCATCTCTCTCTCTCAGCAATGTGTGTCTCTTGTGTCTCTCAGCAGCATGTGTCTCTTGCATCTCTCTCAGCAGCATGTGTCTCTCGCTTCCTTCTCTCAGCAAGTGCATGTCTTTCAGGAGTGTGTTTCTCTCAGCAGTAAGTCTTTCTCAGCCAATAGTCAGAAAGACTCCTTCTGCCTCTACGAGGGTTCCTTTTGAGGCTGGCAGAGTGGACAAACTAACCAGTGCCACCGTAAGAATTCTATACACCTGAGAGAGAGAGAGAACATCCCAGAAGATTACTTCATGCCACTCTCAACAGAAATACTCCAGGTGGATAACTTTAACAATCAGGAGCTACTCAGTTGCTCATGGCAAATTCCACCACGGAGTTTACAAAGACTTATGGCTAGAAAAGCCACACTATGTGATTTATGATACCGCACACACTTAAAGAAATGCAGTGCCATATTGAAGGAACCACGGGCAGTAGCAGATTGGAAATGGCAGAACAATGAGGGGCTAGAGTTCTTGGTGTAAGCATACCATGGGTCTTGAAAATGGGTTGGGATTAAAATAGACAGAGGAATGGGAGCTGGCCATTGCTCAAGCACAGAGACTTGGGGAAGGTCGAGTAGGGAGGGCTTGTGAGTACTACCTGTGGAATTGGATGGTTGGAAGACCTTGAAACCAAGTAGAGAAATTCAGAATTGGTATAAATAGCGAGCCACTGGTTTATCTTGAGTAAGGAATTGTGAGGAATCAAGAGGCCTTCACTGAACCTGCCTTTGGTGGGATGATCAGAGGGTGCTGGCAGATGGAAACCATCCTTGAATCTTTAAGTGTTTCAGTCATGGTACAGTGAAGACTTTGATTGTCATGGCATGATAATCAAAATGCATAGGAAGACATACATCTAGAAGACATCTTGAAGGACACATCCAAGACTTGTGATAGGTGACTCCTGGTTGAGATTATGTATTAGAGCCTTGTACATTTTTAACAAGTGGTCAAAAGGCTTGTTTCATCTTGACATTATGACATTGTTGCTTTGAGTTTTGCAAATATTGGTTCTATAAAGTTTATGAAGTAGAATTGCACTGGATTTTCTGTTTATTCCATAAATAGGTATATTAATAGTTTCCCACTGTGTGGTAAGTTGGGGAAAGCAGCTGTGCACAAAATGAAAGGTCCCTCCCTCAGGGAGCTGACCGAGTGGTAAGAGATAGGGACAGGTCCCCTGGCCTTTTTAATAAACAGTGTGATGAGGGCTTTGATCTGGGACACGTACGGTGCTATGGGAGAACAAAGAAGGTTTACCTAAACCAGACAAGGAGGCATCAAAGCTGATGCCTAAATGATGAATAGGAGGAATTAACACTAGGAATGAGGCATTGATGGTTCAGTTGTAGAATTTTTACCTAACATGCACTTCATGTACAACCTCTACCTGTCTGTCAGTAGAGGCTTGTGTGTTGATATGGTGCTGCACAGGTTTCAGTGGAGCTTCCAGACTGAGATAGACTAGGAAGAAAGTCCTGGTAATCTACTTTTGAGAAATAAACTGGTGAGAACCCAGTGGATCACAACAGTCTAAGCCACAACCAATTATGGGGATCACACAAGACCAAGCAGCATTTTGTTCCATTGTGCATAGGGTTGACATGAGTCAGGACTGACTCAGTGGCATCTAACAAACAGCACCACCACTGTGGGAGCCAGGGGAGTGAGGAAAGAAAGTAAGAGCATTATGTGTGCAGAGGCCTAGCATGAGCAAGCCCAGGGCTCCTCCAGGGACCCAGAGTAGTTCAGTATAGCTGGTGAATAGGGAGCCAGAATGAGAGATGGAGTAGGAAAAATGAGCAGAGGCACATCAAGAAGTGCTGTGTAAGCTATAGGAAGAAGTTTGGGCTTTATCCTAAAGGCCTGGAGAGTCAGTCAAGGGTTTTAAATGATCAGATGAAGGAGGTAGTTAGGGTAGACAACGAGTTTAGTTTTGTACATACCAAGTTAAGGCTCCAAGTGAAACATCCAAGTAGATGAGTCCTTGGGTGGTGTAAATGGTTAAGCACTTGGCTACTACTGAAAGGTTAGTGGTTTGAATCCATCCAGAGTAACCTCAAAAGAAAGGCCTAATTGATGATCTACTTCCAAAAGGCTATAGCCATTGAAAACCCCATGAAGTGCAGTTCTACTCTGAAATGCATGGGATCATCTTGACATCAGTTTCTGTGCGTATGTGACAATGAAGTAGAAGTGTCCTTATGTCACCATTCCTATTTTCCAGAAAATATCATTTTAGGCAGTAGGGTACATGTCCCCTGATTTAGTATTATTTACTCCTTTCCTCACCTGCTACTAAAAACAAACAAGCAAACAAAAACCTATTGCTGTTGCGTTGATTCTGATTTATAGAGATTATCTAGGACAGAATCGAAGTGCCCCCATGTGGTTTCCATGGCTGTAATCTTTACAGAAGTAGACTTTTTCTTGTGGAATGGCAGGTAGGTTCGAACTGCCAACCTTTTGGCTAGCATCTGCACACTTCACCACTGTGCCACCAGGGCTCCTTTTACCTAGGGCTAGATCCTCCACATTTCCCTTCTTTTGTGGCATCTGATTCAGGACACATCCCTGTTTAGCTTGGTTGTTCTGATTGTGTTCTTCTCTCTGGCATTTAGAGGCTGGTTGGGTGGATGGTTGTATCTTGAAGGAAAATTGAGCTGGCTTCTATGCCATGAGTTATCCTGACTTCACAGGTGCCTAGCCCTCTTCCCCAGTGCCTACATGCCTGATGTTGACCCAAGAACTTCCCCTCCCAATGGAATATTGCTCTTGTGGTAATTGCCTCCCTTTCTTTCAGCGGGTGCCAAAGCCTTTGTCTGTGATCAATGCGGTGCCCAGTTTTCGAAGGAGGATGCACTGGAGACACACAGACAGACCCATACTGGTGAGTTGACTTTCATTCCCATTTTCCAAGATTCCACAGTGTGATAGTGGATGGATAGGAAGTATCTTGATGACTCTCTTTTTAGCAAAAGAGACATCTAATAATCTCTCCTGGGGGAGCTGTAAGTGGAAGAAGCGCCACCATATTCAACTTGTTTTGTCTGAGAGGCTGGCTGAGCAGGAATTTACAAGTGAGACCATGGCCCCATAAGAACAGCTGTCCTGGATTAGGCCAAGGTCCCTGTCTGCAAAAGGCTACTGAGATCCCATCTTCACGAAGGCTTCTGGGATGCTCTTAATGAGACCTTAGAAAGTCTGTGATGTTACTAAGCAGCCCTTCCCTTGATGAATGGCCAGGAAATCTCTCCAACCACGACTGACCTCTGAAACCCTGTGTGGCCACACTGGATGGGTTCTCCTCTTTTAAAAAAGAAAAAAACAGCAACAAAACATTGCCGTTGAATTGATTTTGACTCATAGTGACCCTACAGGGTTTCCAAGGCTGTAAATCTTCATGGAAGCAGACTGCCACATCTTTCTTCCATGGTGAAGAGTTTAGTCATTGGCTGCATTTGAGCAGTATTAACAATGACATAGCCTTATTTGATTTCAAATTATTAATTGTACAGCTTCAGTGGGGTCCTCTCATCATCATAAGCAGTCATCATCAGCATCATCAGCATCATCATCATCACCACAGATGTTCACACTCACTGAGTACTTACTGTGTGCCAGAAATAGAGGCTAAAAGAGGGTAAAGTCTCTTACCCAAGTAAATTGTAGAGGCAGAAGTTGTAGAGCCTTGTGGTTGGGAGTGTAGACTGCTTGGGTTTAATCCTGGCTCTACCACTTACTATTTACTACTTCTTGTTGTTGTTATGTGCTGTCGAGTCGGACCCGACTCATAGTGACCCCTCCTTGGGTTTCCGAGGCAGTATCACTACGGAAGTAGATTGCC